GTCGTTCGGCGCGACCGTCCTTGTAAGCCCTGTAGCATTCTTGAAAGAGACGTTCGTTCCATTTTCTGTTTTGAAAGGAAGAGACAACCAGGGTGTGAGATCGAGGGATGACTGAGACGACCACATCGATGGGCGTGGTGCACTCTTGACTGCCGATGCACAAAAGAAAGAATGCTCGATCTCAGCAACCGTACCTGTAGATGTGCCAGTGTTGCATCTGTAGCAGCGGAGGAATGGTGAAGTGTGAAAAAGAAATACCTTCAGAACCCCTTCTCGTACGAAGGGCGTGGCATTGGTTGACTTACTGTGTGAGCCACATCAGAGGCCTGAATGAGATGCTCGATCTGCGACATCGAATGGATAATTAGGTTGCAAGTGAGTATTTGTATGGGGTGATGGCATCACTTTGCATGCATCAATACATAGGCACCTACCACTATGGTTGCCTTGCGATCCTTGGCTGCCTTTTCGGACTCGTCCGGACTGTCGGCAGTGCCTTCAGTGTTGAAAGCCTTCTCCCATCTGCCATTACGCAAGACCTTCAGATCTTTATCACCAATGTCAGTTGCCATTACAGACTATGCATACCAAAATAGCAAAATACATCGATGGAGCGAGAGGCATGTAAGGTACTGTTTGGACGTGCTGGGTCTGTCTTTGGACTTCTGCATCCAAGAAACTACTTACGTTGACAACGAGACTTCGGAACCGACGAAGGCCATTATTGGTTGTGTAGATGGTCTTGCGCAAGGCACCATACTTGGGCTCCATTAGCAGACGCCAACATCTGTCCACCGAGTTCGACTCTGCTACACTCCTGTCCTTGTACATCTTTGCTTCTGGTGTCTGTTCCTTTACGAGAGTGGCATTTGGTACTCCGGGATGATCTGAAGCAACAAAAAGGGAAACTGTAGGACACCCCGCTCCTCATCATGGTCTATGAGAATGGCATGCATCAATAACGCACCGGCATCGTGTATGAGTGCTGAAAGCACGCAGGAGAATTGAGTAAGCGGATCGCTGGAGGTTGAGGAAGCAAAGTGAGGACGATGATGCTACGGAAGAAATGTACAAATCTGATCATGGTGCATAAGTGCATCTCGTACCTCGTGATGCCATACGTATGGTCATGCATGCAACGACCCTCTTCTTCATAGATGTGTCCGTGATCCTACTGAGCAGCTTGCTCACCGACATTGTAACATGAGAAGCGTGCTGCAAAGGATGAAAGGGGCGCTGTGAGCACTGCCAACAACGTCATGTATTTGGCCAAGCAACATCCATCACAAGACGTACTTCAAAGTTTGGAACGCGTGATCGGATAAGTTCTGCGACCGATCGTACATAGTCTTGCAACTGCAGGTATACGTCCGAGTCCAACTCGATGTGTTGTGCTTGTTCGGCGGCGACGCGGGAATAGTTGAAGGTGGGTAGTTCGATGGATTCCTTGACTTCATCCAGCAGGGTCCCTTGTCGATTTCTTGTGTAGATGCTTTCATCAGCATCTGCCTTGCGAGTAGGATTGACATTGACAAGACACTGACGACGCGCGACGATTTGTTTGAGAAGACGATGCAGGACTTCCACGTTCCACGCTACGAGGCGTTCAAACTTGGCGTTGGTAATGGAGGTGGAGAAGACGCGGGAAGATGCGTCCATCATGTTGAAGGAGGAGGGGGTGCCAATGGAAGATGAAAATGGACGTGGTACCAAGTCGCCTCTGGCGGGGTTGTGGCGGGCAACATACAAGTCGTCGGATTCGTCGCCACTGCTGCATCCGCTGTAGGCAGATTGAGCATCGCTTACAGTGAAGTTGTCATTTTTGTGACTCCTCTAGAAAGTATGTCTGGAGAGACCCGAGACCTTTGGCAATGACCTTGTTGGGTCGCTTGGTGACCCAATGTCCCTTTCCTGCGTTCTGCAATAGCGTGGCAGTCGCACGAGACAGGTGAATTCTACCTCCTTCCCCGGTGGATTCAATTCTCGCGCATGTATTCACAGTGTCACCAAATAGCTGGTTGTGGAGAACGTCAGAGAAGGGCAATCCATCAGGCTGAGTGATTGTTTCCAACTAGCCAGCAATGACTGACTGCTCTGTATGTCATGATGCACGTACCTGGAAGCGACTTTTTTCTCCTCGGAGGACTCCTCCCGTGACGGGTCCCTGCGGTGGAGCGAAAACGCAAGGTCAGCACGACGACAAGCGCGATAACAGTCCAAGAACGGATACAAGCCCCCTCTCGCCCCTTACTCACGAATGAATTCCCACCCGGATTCGCAATTCACACGTATCGGGTCCCAGACTCCGCGTCAATCGTTTACAGATGGGTCTCATTCGTTTGAGAATATCTCTTCCAAACTTGCACATGACAATGTAGTGATCCTTGCAAGGCTGGGCAATCCGCGACGCCATGTAGCAATCTCCCTATATAGGAAACGCAAAAAGAGGGACGTGTTTTGTGTGAGAGGTGAATCACAAGTGTGCTATGTGTTGGAACGATGGGTTCATGTACGTACCACAGTCTCGACCTGAAGAAGTTGTCCAAGAGGGGAAGCAAGGGTGAGTGATCCTTGCATAATATAGCGAACAAAGAGGTTCGGTTCCTGTCTGTGACCGTGTAGTTACCTTGAAACTTTGCGTCGAGGGCAATGGAATCAAAGGCATGGTACACTGTATTGCACACGATGCAAACGACGACCGATGAGTACTCAGAGGAGATAATCGAATCGAGGAGTCCCAGGAGGCACCAGTCTCAGAAACTCACATGTCTCGAGCAGGACAAACACCTAACGCAAGAGCCAGAGGAAGTTGAGAGGTGGGCTTTATGCATGTACGCTACGCAACCAACGATCTTTAAAAGTTGACTTGCTTACCTGCGTCGGTTGTCGCGTGGACGACCATGCGGTGAACCTTCAATTCCGCAAAGAGACGGTGGTTTCGGGAAAGAGTTCGGCAATGGGTTGCCATGTGCCCTTATCATGTGTAGTAGTATCCACCGCAGTACCGGCATGGGACATGACGGTGTCAATGCCCGCTTGTCGACGCACATGTCCGAGCAAGTTGCCGAGGTTTCCCATGGATGCTTGCAGGGCTGCCACTGGGTTACTACTAGTAGTACTCATGTAGGCTGTCGTCTTGTAAGGTGTGGGCGCCACAGCGACGTCGGTACCCTGATCCATGGGAATGGTTCGTTCGGTCATCACCGAGTCTCGCGAGTTGGTCGTCTCTTTTTGGGATTGCGTTTGGGAGGCACGACGGAGGGTAGCAGACCCATGAGACTGTGGCGCGAGACGGGGGTATCCTCTTGCTCAGTATGGTCTTCTTGTGTGTACATGACTGTCACGAGCCTCATGACGTGACGGGCAAACAGATAGATAATCACAGTGATATTGAAAAAGTTGACTGCCAAGGCTCCTGTAAAGATGGCAGGTAGCTGCATAATAAAAGGCAAGAAAGGTGGTTAAGTGAAGGTAGAATAGTTGGGTATATACTCCCATACTTCGATAAGACTCACCTTTTCCTGCAATGTCTCATCCAAGTCATCCCAATGAGACAACGACAGATTGGCTGCCACGGAGAGCGCCATGCCCGTGCCAACACAAAAGGCAACGGCCATGTTGCGCCAAAACAGGATATTCACTTCCACCTGCGATGCTGTAAATGCCCGGTCGCGTGCTTTACTGAACACGTCGGTTTCATCCATGTACATGTCTTCTGCTTCTGCGTCTTCTTCATTGCCAATCACTGTGACTTCATCACTGGCCAAGGAAGCACCGCTGCTGCTCGTGTCTTCTCTTCTTCTTCAGGAATCATCATGGAGGAGGTCATGGTGGATAGCTCTTTATAAGTTGGCTGTTTGAATTCTTCCACTGCTTTCCTTTGGATTTGGAATTGTGAGAGCCTACTAGCTAGAGACTTCAGAGAGCATGCAAGCGAACTCTAGCTAGTAGTGGGAAAATATCCTTCGTGTCATTGCGCGTACCTCAACGTACTATGAAGGTGCATACCGAACGAATACCTGTAGCTTCAACGTTTGCTCTGTCAGTGACTGTCAGTGTGGATTCTTCAGTAGAAAACACAACTAAAAGATTACACAGATGACTGACGTATTGGCTTTACTGGATCTAATGATTATTGGGAGTCAGAAACAGAAGACTTCTTGCGAGATTCAATAAGCATGGTAAATGGTAAATGGTAAAGCTATGGTAGTCATGTAATTGAATGATAGAGGTTTTCTCGCAACCCAAGCTCTTAATTGTACTGACCCCCTAGTCTTTCCTCGGACATCTCCATTCTATAATTGTTTATTGGCGAGAGGCAGAATCCTGATCGTGCTGAACTTCAAGACAGCTCTTGAGTGCTCTTGACAGACTTTGAAGCTCCTTGTTGCGCCACGTCGCCCTTATGAGTTCGTTTAATTAAAAAGTTAGTGGCACGGGTTGTCACTCATCCAGACGGAGGTTTCTCCTTTTCGACCAACCATCATCTTCTATCTCTTGCAGCTGTTACGCTGATATCATCAAAGACCTCATGAAGCTATTGCTCGATCATCCAGAAGCGATGGTTTCTTGATTTCCAGAGATGCAAGGTTGCTACTATTTAGAGAGATTCTTGCAGCTGGAGCTGATTTGAAACTGTTGAAAGCCCAGCAGAACAAGCTGGCTAGCTACTAGACCTGTGCAGTCGTAGCTATCCTGTCCATCGAGCTAGCTGCTAGATACTCACTAGCTAGTCTACTACTCGAGTACTCTAGCTAGCTAGTAGCACGAGTAGCTAGTATTATCCGATGACAGGGAGGGGCTGTTCCATTCCTCAACCATGTAGACTGTGACTGCTATGAACACCCAGCAAGAAAGAAACACAACAAGAAACATCTTTGTCTTTGGCCTTGTGTCTGTCTGATGATGATCCGGTCAATAAGAACCAAAAGGAGCACCTCCTCGCTCTCCAACTCACTCTGAATCTCCCTCTCCAAATAAATGCAATGCATACTACTAGCTCTGCAATGGCATGGAGTACTGCCTTTTCCATTGCCTTATGGGAGCGCCCTGTTTTCTGTTTGCTTCCGCTCATGAACAAAGGCTGAGGGTGAGATCGTGGGATCTAGGGAGTTCCAAGGAGAGAACTTGAATCTGCGACCTCTAATAATATCCTCTCGATATCATTGATGACGATTGCCCCGCGAAGCAAGCAGTCAAATCCACTTCAAACAAGCAGTGGACGCGTTGGTATGAGTTGCCTGTTCAAATGCATACTAGCTTTAGAAGCAATGGAGTACTGCCTTTTTCATTGCCTTATGGGAGTGCCCTGTTTTCTGTTTGCTTCCACTCATGAACAAAGGCTGAAGGTCAGATCGTGGGATCTAGGGAGTTCCAGCCAAAGAGAACTTGAGGCGGCTACCCATAATAATATCCTCTCGATATTCGTGATGATTGCCCAGCAAAGCAAGCAGTCAGTGCGAGCGAATTGCACCAAATCCACTTCAAACAAGCAGTGGACTTGTTGGTATGAGCGAGTTGCCTGTTTGGCAACGCAGCCACCGCCATTTAGTTCTTGTTTTGCTTATTGTCAAGCAAGACCCGACGTATGTACCCTCATATGGTTGCTGTGCCGCAGTCCCTAAAAACCCACCCCCCAAGTCCATCAGGGCTGTCAGCCAGCCTATTGGCTGGCTTCCTTTACTTGCTTAGTCACCAGTTTTGGCTCTCATCGCTCGCTCCCTGCGGAGCACAGGAGCAGCAAGCAATGCATCACGCCTACGATACCGCCACTGCAATGCGTACCTTGCTTGTAATGGAATGCGTTGCGTTTGTGGGGAGAGAGCAGCCTAACAATACGGTAGAAGGCAGCGTTGTGTTGGCCCTACGGTGCATCCAAGCAGAGTGCGAAGAAGCAAAGCACCAACTTGCTTTGGAGACCAACCAGCCATGGCTGTTGGCCTGCCTGCACTAATACCTTACTGGTAGCTAGAGCACAAATTGCTGAAGCATTTCTTTTTCGTTGCCGCAGCCAGTCATGCTGAGCTCCAAGGACATGCATCATCATGACAAGGCTACAATTGCTTTTGCGCTGCTTTGGCTGCAGCCATGGTGTCAAGAGCCTGAAGAACCAATGTGGACGGTGCAGCAAGGCACAAAAGTCTCAAGATTATTATAACTCAGGAGGTTTGCCCGTACATCTGGTAATATCTACCATTAGCTTTTCGTTTGTCATGGTTGTCATGCTCTGAGATGGCGCCGCTACTAGCTAGTAGCTCTAGCGACTATTAGCTACTAGCCAGTCCTTGGTCCTTTCCATTTATTTGCTTCAATTTTGCTCTTTGTGCTTCTTGGTTGTTTTTTGTACCACTTCGTGAGAGTTTTTTTTCGTATGGGACTCCTATGCATCTTTGGCACTGTTGGTCTTCAGCAGGCTTGGAGCAGTCATCCATCGGTCACAACTGATGCATTCTACTAAGTAACTCTGGGGTACAAGAACTCCACTCCGTAACCATTCAGACTGAAGACTATCATAAGCCTGATCACTGAAGACTCTACAGTACTACTAGCTAGCTAGCTAGCTAGCTACAGTAGTAGTAGTGGACTAGCTAGCGTGTTGTAGCGACTCGAGCACTCATGCCATTTACAGCAGGGAAAGGCGACATTAATTTCATCTGTACCCCATTACTGGTACCAGTCACTGGTCACCAAGCAGTTTTCCAAAATTACATGAAGCCCTTAGTTTTGTTGCTTGGAGCCCGGCAGCAGCTCACAATTTCAAACGCATCGTCTTTTTGAAACTCCCAACACAAAAAAAATGATTGTTTTCCTCACCACCAAACCAATGCACGCATCACCCACTACTCTGGCTGACGATTGCATGGGAGGAGACGACGACTTGTTCCTGCGTAGGGTGCGAGTATCGCGAAAGCAATCCATGATGACCACCTCTCTTTCGCACCACTTATTGGAGGATGAGCTTGGCTGGAGCAGTTCCTCGAGCAGCGATGACGACATTCCTTTACTACTAGACGCTTCGTTGTCCTCCAAATCGCACTTGAGTGTTTCCTTTCACGAGGAGCCTCAAATCCAAATGATCCCCACGATTGATGAGTATACTCGAGACGAACTGGAGAGCATGTTTTACATTCGGGATGACTATGAAGATATTCTGGAAGGTGCCGAGATTGCCGCCAGCGGGTGGATGAGCAAGGATGACACCCATCGTGGTCTCGAGCGATTCACAATGGAAGGAAGAAGACACTCCAAAGACCGAAAAAGAGCCGTCATCTCGGCAGTACTAGAGGAACAATGGCGGCATCACAGCGAAGAGGGAGAGAAACAAAAAAGGGACCCACCAAACCTAGTACTGGCACAAGTCTCTCGACGACTATCCGTTGACTGCCAAAATCTTGCCTACGAACGAGCCTACCAGGACGAATTGGAGAGTTTGCCACGGCAAACCAGGGAAGATGTCAAACCCAGCTTTCTGTCACGCTGGAGTATGGTGTTCCAACCGCTCGCTTTTAGCAGGAAGGAACAAGCAGAGGAAGAAACAATAGAGGGGATGGTGCAGCTAATAGTCTAATTAGCTAAATTTTGTATTATAGAGTCAACAATGACCACTCACAGCTAAACATCCGCTATTCATCTAGCTTTGCATGGATCCATCGAACTCGCGCGCACAGAGCCAATGACGACCTGCCATGAAGAAAATGGCTGTTTGTCGGCTTCATGCAGGAACTGATACATTCGTGTTGCCATCCAAAGCTTACATTCCCATCTGTGTTTTGCTACCACAGAGGCAAGTGGAAACTGCTGGTATGATTTCAAATCCAGGTGTATGTCTACCAATCGTCCCAACCTTGCACTCTTGAAATCTTTCCTCGCTCCCTTGGAAACCTCTGGAGGTTCTACTCCAACCAAGTGGCTCTAGCTAGCTAGAGCTATGGTTAATGTGGCACCGCTCCTGCATCCCGCAGAAGGCTCGAAGTGGATTGAACAAGAGAAGTCACTACCATACCGGTAAAATTAATTCTTTTGGTCGCAACGTGAGTCGCAGGGAAGCCTTGTATCAAAACAACCTATGCATACTCGATACCTCTGGCTATAGCTGGCTCGTAAAAAGGCTAAAACACGGTGAAAGGCAAGCGAGGCTATCCTATCTAGACGCCTCCATTTGCGGTACTGGCTAGCTGCCAGACTATCTATAGCTAGCTACATGTACCACCACCAAAAGCGCCAACAGCAAGCAGCCATAGAAAGGACGAGAGCGGTCAGCTATAACAGCAATCTATCTACCGTAGCAAGTAGATCACCATGAAAGAAGAGGTTGTCAGTAAGGAGGAGGAGGAGGCTGAGGATGAATCTCTCGGCAGTGGTGACGGGAACGGTGCACTCAACCCAGAAGTGCGGGATGTTCTCGTTGAGAGAGCCGAGGCCGAAGCTAAACCATCGAACAGTAATAATATGGCCACCAATCCAATGGAAGAGGATTCTCTGATCCGAGCACTGGAAGATGAGCAGCAGTTCTGTGTTGCTCCAGAAACCCTTCAGATTCCAGTGGAGGTTATTCCCCAACAGAAGCACGGCGAGGAAAATGAGACATGTGTTTCTTCCGTAACCGATGCCCTTCGGGATGCGGATCTATTTGTGGACCGTATGTATCCTACTCTCCAAGATGTTCCTGAAGAGCACAAACCACAGCCCATGGTAGATCTTGCTGCCGAAAGGACCCAGCCTCGTGGGATTTCTACGTCAAGCCAGGCGGAAGATGAAAATACTGAGCAAGAAGTTGCCAGCTTGCCAAAAACTCATCCTGTTGAGGATGCCAAAGGAATTCATCTAGCAGATATTGAGAAACTTAATGATGAGGGAGCAGAAAACTCCAACGTGGAACAGCAACAACCAAAAGCAGAAGACATCATGCTAGTAGGAGAGGACTCTGAGAACAAGGAACACCAGCACCTCATGGAAATAGCCACAGGAATCAACGAAGCTGCCAAAATGGAAAAGCTTGCCAAGGCAGCTACTGCCAACACAAATGATGATGATGATGTTCCATTCAATGAACCAGAAGCTGCTTTTCTTGGGAGGGATGAACAAGATACTGTACCAGGAAATACGGTAGAGGCACCCACAGCAGTAGAGCCTGTCCCACAACCTGCCTTGTACCGAACAACCCAGATGAATCCACAATCTCAGCCAGGCGCGTTCATGGGTGCACCAGGCAGACGTATGCAACGAAACCCCAGCTTAAACTATGACCTTCTCAGTGCTAATAATTTGGCCACTACTAGTGGTCAAGAAGATTCCAGTGTTGGTACTGCAGCGCGGATATTGACAACTCAAGGGTTGGTACAGGCTAATGCCATAGAGGATGACACGGCCGATTTGATGCATGCCAATCCTGTTGATATGGAAACTGCCCAGCATCGTGCACTTCAACAGAAGCATCAACAGATGGCTTTCTTTGCAGCCGCTCTTTGGTTGTTGCTGGTTGTTGCCATTATTGTGGGATTTGTGGTTGGGACCCAAAAGACCAAGGAGCCGGATGTGGTTTTCCTCGAGTCAACTGAGACTCCAACAGTTTATGGCTCCATGGAACCATCGGAAGTGCCGTCCTCTGCTCCAACTGGAGCTCTGGACATACTGTTGTATAGTCTCCCTGACTATGCTGTGACCAGCATCAATAATGGCAGTGAGACCCCACAGTGGAGAGCGTGGCAATGGCTAGCCAATCACCAAAACAATACCTTTCTTCCAGAATGGAGAAAGACACAGCTGTTTGCTCTTGCTACATTCTTCTATGCATTTGAGGGAGAAAATTGGTGGCACCCAATCAAGGACAGGTGGATGGATGATACTGTGGAAGAGTGCATGTGGTTCTCCAGTGGGTTTGGATTTGTGCTTGATGGGTCATACCAGGAATGGCCATCATTTACACCTCCCTGCAACAGCCAAGGACAGTTCACATCTCTGGATCTAGCACAGCTGCAGCTCTCCGGTCCTTTACCATATATTCCACCAGAGATTACCCTCATGGCTGCATTGACCAAGATTGCATTGCTATACAACGGCAATTCTGGGCCAGTTTCATCTCTGTTACCAACAGAAGTTTATGAGATGACTGATTTGAGATCGTTAGGGTTGCGGGGAAATCTGCTCACTGGCCAAATTCCTTCTGAGATTTCACTATTCCCTTCATTGTCCGAACTGATCTTGGGACAGAATCAATTGTCAGGCCAAATTCCCTCTGAGATTGCACTATTGTCTTCTCTGTCATTGCTTGAATTGGATCAGAATGACTTGACCAGTCAAATTCCTTCTGAGCTTGGCCTTTTGACGGCTTTGACTGAGCTGAGGTTCAACGAAAATCGATTGACCGGGCCAATTCCTTCTGAGCTTGGGCTCCTGTCCTCATTGAAAGAGCTTTACCTTTATGATAATCTGCTGTCCGGTCAAATTCCTTCCGAACTTTGGCTCCTTACCTCATTGAACCTGCTTCGGCTTGGGGATAATCAGTTTTCTGGTCTGATTTCTTCAGAAGTTGGGCTTCTGAAGTCATTGGACAAGCTATACCTTGCTTGGAATCAGATTATGGGTCCAATTCCTTCGGAGCTTGGTCTCCTGACCTCATTGAAAGTTTGTGACCTTTTTGATAACTGGTTGATTGGTCCACTGCCTTCTGAGCTAGGGCTCCTGACCTCATTGGGCCGGCTAACCCTATTTGCCAATCAGTTCACTGGAACAATCCCGACTGAAGTTGGCATGATGACATCTTTGACAAACCTGCGTCTTCATAACAATAACCTGACAGGAACACTGCCCAGCCAGCTAAATGCTTTAATGGGATTGAGGATATATGGGAATCATTTCACGGGCACTGTGCCAGAGCATCTTTGTTCTTTTCTATGGTGTGAGTGTTCCCTAAGTGAAACTCCTGCTGTTACCACCTGTGCTGACCTCAAAGAAGCTCCACCGGATTGGCCTGGGAGATTTCCAACCAGAGGTGCTGATGTCATGCTCAATATCTATACTGATTATTTTCCAGAAGAAACAACATGGCTTTGGCAGAAGGAAACTAATGTGACTGGTATTTGGGACACGCTGGAATCACGTGGTCCACTGGGCATTAGAGAGCATGTTCACTCCTCTCTCTTCTCAGTGAACACTGGCACAGCCTACAGATTGATTGTGTCGGACAGTTTTGGTGATGGCATACCCTGGATCACTATGACAGCAGGAAATGAAACAGTGTTGTATTCTTTGGTAGCTCCAGAGGCCTTCTCTGAAATCACCATTGATGTTTTGGTTAGAGCAGATGGATCTTTTGATGTGACCAGTTCTAGAGCTCTGTAATTCATTTCTATAGGCAAACAACTATGCATGTTTATTGTGCTGCAGTCATCGTTGGCTAGACAACAGCATCAACATCTAGCTAGACTATATCATTCATTTTGCTGGTGTGTTCTCGGTTCAACACATCAAGGACATCCTTGCATTGATGGGGATTCTTCCATCTTTTTATCTAGACTTTTGCTGTTATTCCTGCCAGTGTCTCGCACAACACACAGGAAGTACAATGTCAAGCCCTGGAACATGTATGGATGCATCTGAAAAGGGCAAATTGGGGTGGGGTAGGGATCTGTAAGGTATCTCAAGGATTTAGGAAGAAGCTCGCTCAAAGGTAACCCCCTATTTTGTTTCATAAGCATACCAAATCATCCATGTCCACCTGCAGGGTATATTTGCTTGGTAATCCTTAGTCTATCTTACAAATTGAGTTATGATCTACCGGTATGGTATGGTATGACAACAGAGCGGCTCGTCGCTCGAGGACTTGTGCAGACTTGCGAGCTGTACGGTAGAACGTCCAAGAGGCACTACCTAGCTAGCTACTGTAGCATCGTGCAATACATGTAGAGCATCATGATTGGACTGTATCCAGTGTAGTACTGCAAGAGTAATATGTACGGTGCATTGGCTCACTGACGGATTCGGTTCTTGGTTGGGCATTGCCCAAGGAAGGCAATGAGAGCTCCCCAACTCCCCGAACATTTCCTTGGGGACTCATCAGTCCTGCCCGTGATTAATTAAGTCGTTTGATGTGATTCAACGGTAGGTACGTGAGGCAGTACTGCAACCCACTCTGCTCCTCTCCAAATGTCAGCACTCTGAAGGAATTAACAGGGAGGTTCGGGAGGAAGGGAGAATCCCCAATTTCTGCACGGGGGAGCCGTAAACATTGGCCCACAAGCAGCATCGTTAGAGGATTGCTGCATGGCTACTTGTGGTTCAAGTCCCACTAGCTAGCTACTAGCTAGTAGATACAAGTAGAAAGTACGAGTCGGGCCGAAAAGGGGTGATAGGCAGCAATTTGATTGGCTAATCAACCTATGACATCAGCAAGTATGTCCGAAAATATTCAAAACACTTAACGTACCATTTATAGAGTTTACAGAGTGAATGTGCTATCAAGTTCGAAATTTCGTTGTTGTTTTCGGTGAGGAAGAAGATTCCGTTGATTTCGATCGCGATCGACAATGACGTGCTGCCGCTCGACAGTCATTTCGCAGCCAAAAAGCAAGCGAAAAGCAAGCGAAAAGCAAGCAAAAGAGCACCATGGATCCACCAACAGCAGCAGCAACAACAACACAAAATGAAGGGATGGGCTGCCAGAGTCAGAATCGAAATCCACAACAGAAGAGAGCATTCAAACTCGCCAACAACAACAACCCAAGATCATCAAAGAGAGCGAGAGAAGAAGGAGCCCAAACAGCACTGGAAGGAGGGATAGCAGAAGTCTTTGATCCACTCAAGAACTGTGTCATCTGTAAGGCCAGACATTTTGGTCTCAGAGTCCCAAAGAGATCACACTCTGTCTTCTGTATTAAGAATACAATAACAAAAGGACAAGGACCTTTGAATGCGCTGACCATGGAGACAATCAAAGAAAGCAGAAGACTCACCAGGCAATTCAGTGCTCCTCTTCCACTCAATGAGAGAGGAAGCTGGAGGCATTCCACAAGAGAAAATGGAGAAGCTTTCTTTGCTGCCAGAACAAATACAGCCAGAGCCACAGCCAAAGCAACACCAAAGTACAAGGCCATGGCTACTCCAGCTGTGTTCTGCGAGAAAGTCACAGCTCTTGTAGAGGATGCCACCTTTGTGGAGAAGCACAAGACCAAAATTGCTCCTCTGGCTATGATTGCAATGGCAGAAGCAGTGTCAGAATCCATTACCAGATCAAAGAACCAGGAGCTATTCCAGCAACACTTCCAAGGACTCACCATGACAGTCCCACCCACAAAGGACCAATTCGAGTCTCCTCACTACCACTCCATTGTTGGGCAGAAACTCCTTCTAGTGGACTGGAATCGATGTGGAATCACTGTACCCTGTCCTGATGGAAAATGCTCTGGCAAACTCGACAATGATAGAAGCCACTGGTCCCGAAACAAGACTCTGTTCCCAATCTTTGGCATTGCTGGACCTCCATCTTGGTGCATGGTCATGTCCATGGTCTGCAGCTGCTGCAAGAGGAGATTCGATGCCAACCAAGCAGAGGTACTGGTGTCAATCCCAGAGCATGTTTCCTTGCTGTACCCAGTCGAGTCAAAGTATGCTTTTGCCAAAAAGGACTATCACCTAGAGAGAACAGCAACTGAGGTATTCGATTCTATAATTGTTACCTATGGAAATGGTGACCTCTGCAGTCGGCTCCTCTACAATGCAATCAACAGAGAGTATGTCAGAGCAATCATGTCCTACTTCTCTTACTGGCAAGGAAGTGAGAAGGATCCTCCACCCTTCCTTCCAAAGGATGGACTTACATCAAAGCAATAACCCTCCTCTTGGTGAACCAAATCCGACTTGTTCGATAAGGCTGTGCTCCAACAGAACACCATGGAGGATTCACAAACAAAACTTAGAGAGATCAAAAGTGTAAGTGCAACAAGGATCTTCTGCCAAGACCATACCTTCAGCCAGTATCAAGAACTAATGCAAGAGAGAGGTTGGAAGCGATCAGCCAAGTGAATGGCTTTCTCAATGCAGTTGTCTACTGCTGGCTTGGTGTCTGGAGTGAACAAGGTAAATTTCTTGACAGGATCCAGTCTTCCTTGGCCAGGTTGGCTGCCCTCACTGGCTGTCACCTTGTACCTGCAGAACCACTGTTGAATCTTCTGCCTCATTGTTTCAGGTTCTCTCATCCTCTTCCTTAGGTACTTGGAGTATCTGTTACTGAAGACCCTTGATGATTGCAGGTCTGAGATCTCCACCATGGAATAGTGTTTGCCATCAGCTGATAGGAGACCATGTTTCAGAGCATAGAGAACCTTCTCATAGTCCTCAGGTAAGTACTCATAGAGGCAATCCAAGAGAGCATTCAAAGCTTCGAAGTAGTCAATGTGACCCTTCCTCAAAGTTGACAGAATCCTTTTCTCATAATGGAACAGGCCAAGTCTTCCCTCATACTGGAAAGAGTATCTCCCAATAGTCATCCTTGTTGGGCCAGGTGTCACTGTACATGGCAGCTGGATTGAAGTTGCCTCTCCTTGCTAGCTGCATGGCTGCATGGAGAAGTGGATGGTCTTGGTGGTGGGAACCAGCACTGCTGAAGCTATCTCTCCAGTTTCGGTGGCAGCATCCCAAACAGCGACTGC